ACATAGACATCTCACAGCCCCCATTTGGGAGTGTGGCTCTGTGAGATTTTTCACATCTTGTTCATTGACCTGCTACAGTTATGTGAGAGGCCCCAGGAGGAAATGATGGCAGAATCTGTAAGTGTAAATAAGCATCTTAGGAGTGAGAGATCAAGCCCACAAAGTATCCAGAGCCATGACCGCAACTACATTTACCTGTAAAATGTGATACTGGAGCAGAGTATTTTTGTTCTTTCTCTTACCCAAGAGCTAGCAAATCAGAATGGGTGATCCAGGTTCTGGAGCTCCACCAGTGCAGTTCTATTTTTTATTTAGAGTCAGCCTGAGTCTCTCCAGCCTGGCTTATCATTGGGCCATCAATCCAGGGTCACTGGGAATTCTCTTACAATGATCTAGGTGTCTTTGAGGTATTTGAGGATGTCCAGAGCAGAATTGTGTCAGGCTGAGAAGTGTGGTTAATTGTGCTTCTGTCTCAGTGTAAGATAAATGAGTCATCCTGTGTTTGTTCATCCCCTCATACAAGAGGTGTCTTTGGTTGGTACCCAGATGAGAGTTTCTCCAGTTTCTGGTGCTTGAATGGTAAACAAGGATGAGATCTGGAGACCTAAATAGATAACGTACTTCCTTACATTTCATATAACTGTAAAAAAAGAAATGAAGCAGTCATGGTTCCTACAATCCAGAAACTTTTAGTGTAGCTTAGCCACTGGATAAATAATGGCATTATGCATCATATGGTTGGTACAATAAATAGATGTGTCCAAAATCTTGGGCTTCATTTAGGCCCCTTTTTTTATATTGCTGTGACTTCTGATGTTTACACCTGTAGGGATATTCGTGAACAGAAGAATTGTTATTATAATTAATTTTTGTTTTTTGAGATGGAGTCTCGCTCTGTTGCCCAGGATGGAGTGGAATGGTGCGAGCTCAGCTAACTGAAAGTTCTGCCTCCCGGGTTCAAGCGATATTCCTGCCTCAGCCTCTAGAGTGTCTGGGATTAACAGGCGCCCACCACCACACCCGGCTAATTTTTTGTATTTTTAGTAGAGACAGGGTTTCAACATGATGGCCAGGCTGGTCTTTAACTCCTAACCTGGGGGGATCTGCCCGCCTTGGCCTCCCAAAGTGCTGGGATTACAGGTGTGAGCCACCGTGCCCAGCCACATATTTATTTTTGAATAAAATTACCCTAGAAAGACCTGATGAAGTGCCTCACACCTGTAATTTTAGCACTTTGGGAGGCTGAAGCAGGCGGATCACAAGGTCAGGCATTCCAAACCAGCCTGGCCATTACAGTGAAACCCTGTCTCTACTAAAAATACAAAAATTAGCTAGGCATGGTGGCATGCGCCTGTAGTTTCAGCTACTCGGGAGGATGAGTCAAAAGAACAGCTTGAACCCGGGAGGCGGAGGTTGCAGTGAGCCGAGATCACGCCAGGGCACTCCAGCCTGGGTGACAGAGCAAGACTCTGTCTCCAAAAAAAGAAAATAAAAATTACCCTAGAAAACTTTGGGAATTTGTTTAAATTCCATAGTAGTATATAGTATAAAGTTGACAGGGTGGTGGCTAGAAAAAATAAAAATTACAGAAACTCTGGGATTCAAGTTTCTTTTAGATAAGGTTAGAAAAAACAAAACTGGAAGTACCGTAGTGGTATAGAGAACTGAATTCCACATAGGGTTCTTACCCGATCCTAGACCTGTTAAGATTCACCCTTTTTAGAGGCCTTATTTAGGTCTGACTCTACCCTGGAGTCTTGCCTCGCAGAAATGATTAGAAGAGATCAGAGTTTTGACTGTTGAATCCTGCTGCCTTTCTAGAGCTGGTGCTTAGAATTTACTGAAACTCAAAAGCAGATAAATCAGAAAAACAAAGTATGTATTAGAGGGTGTTAATTTTTAAATTTTCTATGAATCCAGTACTCGCAGAGACATTCTATTTAGCAACTTGTTTTCTATTTCTGAAGATCCAGTAGTTGCTCCACAAGTGACAAAAAAAGAAGTAAATATAAACAGAATAAAATTTTCTCTAAACTACATTAAACTCTCTCTATAGCTTGAAATCTGTCTATATTTAGCTTTTATTCCATACAATTTTTTTAAAAAGTTGGTGACAGAGAAACAGAAGAAGAAATAAAAATGCGGCCGGGCGCGGTGGCTCAAGCCTGTAATCCCAGCACTTTGGGAGGCCGAGACGGGCGGATCACGAGGTCAGGAGATCGAGACCATCCTGGCTAACACAATGAAACCCCGTCTCTACTAAAAATACAAAAAAATTAGCCGGGCGTGGTGGCGGCGCCTGTAGTCCCAGCTACTTGGGAGGCTGAGGCAGGAGAATGGCGGGAACCCGGGAGGCGGAGCTTGCAGTGAGCCGAGATCGCGCCACTGCACTCCAGCCTGGGCGACAGAGCGAGACTCCGCCTCAAAAAAAAAAAAAAAAAAAAAAAAATGCTGGGCCCTTTATCTAAATCTTGGAAATTATTAAACCCTTAGTACCAGCTCCCAGGGTGTTATGAGAATTAAATCACATAATTTGTTATGCCCAGTACAGTGCTCTGTATCATACTCTCGAGCACATAGTACCTGCTTAATAAACATTGCATTAGTACATGTGTACATGTTCTTTTTTAAATACAGATTTATTCAGACATTGCTGCTTTCTGTTTCTTCTGTAAACTTTAAAGAGCCAGCAAAGAATATCAAACTTTAGGATGGAGACGGGTTGTCTTTATTTGTACCAGAAGTATTTGGTTGTGACAAGAATGCTGAGTGTAAGGGACCCTGTGCTGTGCCTGCTTCTCTAACTAATGCTAATAATGAGCCAAGGGGAAGCAACATCAGCATTGACAGGAAACTTGTTTAAAACACCCATTCATGGACTCTTTTCAAACTTGCAGAATCACATTCCACAAAGTGGGGTCAAAATTACCAAGTGATTTATAAGCTCATTAAAACTTTAAAGGCAATGCTCTCATTCGTAAGAGTTAAGTTCCACCTTTGCACTAAAGGGTGGTCACAGGGCCTGTTCTGTTTGGGTTTAGTAGGGAGCGGTCAGTGTGGTGCATATTTCCATTACTGTAGCAGAAATTGCTGGTGCCTCTGGCAGGGGAGGGCACCTGAGGACAGGAAAGGAGAAACTTATATTTTTATCTTCATGAAGCAGCTTATTGTTCCTGAATCTCTTCTGTTTTAAAGGACAGAAATGGGTGGACTTTTTCTGTCTTTTTTTTTTTTTTTTTCCTGCCATTTGATGTCATGCTACCAGGTAAACAGGTGGTGCTGACACTTTTAAGGACATACTCTCAAGATACAGGTATAATTTGTCCAGAGAATCTCATCTGAGAATGAATTCCAGAGAAGCAGGAGAAAGAAAAAAAGTGGCTTTTCTGTCTCAGATCAAGACCTGTATTCACTCTGCCTCCTCGAATGCTATGCATTTAGTATTTACAAACATTTATTTCTCTACTTTTGTTTTTTTTTTCTAATGAGCTTGGTTTAAATACTTCTTAAAATTCTTATGATAGTCAAGGGTCTCTGTAAAATATTTCTTTTCTATACCTTAGAGCCTCCTCTACATTTGCTACATCATAGCTTCTTATATGCCATGCAGGATTCTCAGCAATAATTTATGATCTGCAATATTAAAAGTGCTCCCTTTGTGGCTGTTGAACATGGAAAGATGTGGATACTCAAGATTTCTATTGGGGGAAACTGTGGTCCCTAGTAAAGATGGAAAACGTAATGTTGAGGCTCCATCTATGTGTTCCATTAGCTCTATGCCGAACAGGATTAAGGAAAAGCTTATTTAAATGGGATGGCAGTTATTAACCAGAAAGTTCTGGGGAAAAAAATTAAGATACCTGCTCTCTAGGGTGCTAAATGAAGCCTACTTAAAATTTCTACTAAAAATTATAGAACATAGGAGTTATCTGTATTTTGAAGTTAGCATAAAACATGTTTCTTTATGGTTAAAATCAGAATTTTTTTTTTTTTTTTTTTTTTTTT